ACATTCGTGCATCCGATTTCGTTTTACTACCATTTAATGTATGTACATCTCCCTCCATGAAGATTACACGTACATCTTGTTATCATTTTTTCTATACCACTGAAATTACTCAATCCAGACTACCGGTATCCACAGTTCTATCTCTAGCTTTGTTTACCCTTGGCTTGCGTCATTGGTTGGTCCTTTCGAAGACGTTATTACGCAGTGAAGTAAAAAAATTCGAAATGCGGATGAAGTTAGCCGTAACAATAAAAATAATGGAAACCTAAAATGGTCAAATATGGCGTGGAATTATCAACTGCATTTAAAAGCAGTTATGCTACAATAAAAATACCTGTTGCGTTGTTCTTGAAAATTGGTTCCTTAAAAGAGAACCACAAGTCTCAAGATTGCAACACTGCATTCAGCATTTAAACCATTGCCTATGCACACCATGGAGGCGATTGGCAAGAGTATTTTCACATCTAACCTTAGCCCATTACCCCAACAGATGGGTTACGCACATGAAGCATAAATAGAATTGATTGAATATGTTGTTCTTCCAAATGTGATGAGCCCCCTCTCTCAGCCCTAGACTCCCAGTCGAAAGACTAACGGTAATTCGACACTTCCGGTGTCTCGCATTTGACTCACAGTTACTTGTGAGTAGTGGTGTGGGATAAGTGATTTTTATTGATTAGCGCTGACTTATCCTTCCGGTGTCATCTATTGAGGCGTGCGGACATATTCCAATAAACAACACTAACCTTATCACTACTCATGAGTAACTGCGTTGAAAATGCGTTTTTTTTACCCTATTCAACAATCTATAGATGCTTGACGAAATACGGTGACCCGAAAAGATTTCGATCTCATTTCGTCTTAGCATCTGTCTCGGCTACCGTTTTGCCCATGAGGTTGAAATTTTTAAACGCCTTCCACGCAAAATAATCAATCACCAGATTCATAAAAAAGTAACTTTTCTTGAATGAATTCAAAATATTGCACACGAGGTACAAAACTGTTAAATGCTTTCAAAGTCACTTCTTAAATTCTATAAATTATTATTCAGCAATCTGATGAAAACTCACAAAACTGTCAGGTCCCTTTCACCAAAGTGCACACTGTCACGTGGTTTGACGTTGTCGGCAGTAGAGAAAGGACAACTTCAATTCACCGAGACACTGAATGAAATAGCAAGCGCATTGCAACAAGGACGAAATGCCCCAAAGACAGCAGCGAACCAGTCTGGCTAATTATTCTGCCTCGGTGCAGCATGAGTAGACGAGGGGCACAGTCAAAGGATGGCTCGACAAGTCAAATGAAGACTTCGAATGGCAGCTTCTAGTCTGACAACTAATACTCGGAAGTTGAAATGTTCTCTTCATCTTGATTTGAGCGTTTGACGAATACAAAATGTATTCCAGATCAATTCGCATTCGAGTTAAGAAAAGAAGAGTGTGGCTTGGAACCACAAATAAGAAAAAGCCATCGTATTTAGTGACGAGAAAAAACGAAAGGTTCGGATAGCCAGATATTCCACTAGTATGACTGAAGGGAAGAGAAACCAATGGACAACACACAAGATTTCAAAGAAGTCTCAGTAGTTTTAAAGTTCTTTTCCATTTTCTACAGAGCTAGAATCGAGGGGTTCATCATTCAAATCGAGCATGCAAACCTAAAAACAGTTTGGTTGTTGTGCAACAACATTTGACTGTTGAGCTGGTCGTCCCACAGTCCTGATTTAAGTTCAATAAAAAAGGATTCGGGGATTCCTGGCAGGACGTGTATATGAAGAATAAAAACCTTCCGATAAAAAAGTTGAGAAGAAGAATGAATTAACTCAGATTTAAGACTTCTGGAGCCTCTGATCAACCGTTCACTGCAAGTTACTATTTACAGATCACGTTCATTTGGTTCGGGATAGCCTTAGAAGTAGTTCACAACCCGTAGTATTGCGAATTCCAGTCAAGTTAAATCGTTTTCTTCTGTGTTCTGTTTGTCAAATGTTCAGAATCTCAACGTTTTCGGTGGAATAGCGGCAGAAATACGTTAAAAAACGAATCACGCATTTCGCGCACCACATATTAGGCGTCCTATCACAAATCTAGAGACATGTACCACAAACGAGTTGGCATGAATACAACCTGCGATAGTGAATTATTTAAACTTATACTAATTACATCACTATTCTTTTCTTCGTTTGCAATACACAAACAAGAGCTCGGGGCCAGTATCAAAATAACAGAAATTCGAATTATAGGTTTATGTATTCATAAAGAATACAAGAACAAGTCCATTGTACGGCAGAAAAATTCTTCAAGTTACATGCATTTCTATGCTGAGTTAGTTCAAGGTAAGCAACCGGTCGATTAGTTGCATACCTATTTCGTCAGGCGCAAGACACAGTGTTGGATCAAAGGACCTGGGTATGATAAAAGAGGGAATGGGAAGAAGATAAACCAAAAAAATGTATCACGGATCGAATGAGAACGTACGTGTGTGCTTTCATCTCGAGACAGATCGTTTTTACTATCCCCATTGAATGGGAGAATGAGTTGCAGAAGGTCAAAGTTTATCAGTTCATAGCACAGATAAACCGAATAGGGATTGGTCATGAGTACTCACATAAATGCTGCTGACAACAGTCAGATTTGGAATCAAAAGAAAGGAAAAACAGAACGTAAACGAGAAAGGTAGGCAAAACACACTGAAATGAGGGAAGACAAAAAATAATAGGGTGAATATGGGAAATAGTTATACTACGGGGCATTTTGTTCACTGAGGCAATTCGATTTTCGCTATTTCTGTTGCCCGATTGAAATGGTTCGATCGATTCGAACAGAGTCTTTGTTCTCAAAGTAATCCGGACAACAACAACAATGCTCAAGAAAGCGAAACAGACAACGCAACTGTTCGTACGGTTCATCTTGTGCGAACGGATTTCGAGTCGGTCGAACGACTTGCTCGGTCATGATTCGAGTGTTAGATGTAGTACGCTGAACAGGTCGAACATTCTGAGTTCGATACGGTTGTGTTCGTTTTTGCGCTCGTTGTTTATCCGCTTTCGGTTTTGCGGTAGTCCCGTTCGTGGAAGTCTCCAATGGGCGTGTGGGACGAGTGAATTGGCTAGATTTTCGGATTGTATTGGAAGGGGAATCGGAGCCGGTATGCTGCACATGTGCTGGTAATGAGTCAAACTGATTGGAATCGGATTCGTCCATTGGGAACGGACAGAGGGGTACCTGAGGCAATGGAAGCGAGATCGAATGCGTGTCTGCCGTACCGCGACGACCGCAACAATGGCGAGCTAGTTGCAAGCATAAATCCACAAAAGCCGGAAAACTTAATCCTCGAAGGGTACACAATTCTGTCGAGGGTTATGAAGAAAGAAAAAGCCAGAGAGAAAATAATAGAGTCCACAAAAAGTGGAAACCAAATTCTTAGCAAGTAAAATTCAACAAAAAATGATTTAACGTTATAAAAATTTGAAAAAAAAACTATTGTGAGGTGATTGCACGTGAGAATAAACAATGAGAATATTGTGAACAATACTTTATGTGTATAGGTTCATTACATCTTTCTTCAAACATATATATATATATATCACGTGTTTGTATTTATTCAATCTGTAGAGAATAATCCACTTGTTTTTCAGAAAGCCACTTACCACGACCACGCTTGAATAGATCCGGTTCATAAACACGTTGCCACCAACTGCGCTGTTTAGCAAATATTAAATCCAACTCAGTATAAGTCAGTCCAAGTTTTTCCATTCGGCATCGTCTAGACAACATGGTAAGATGTGTAAAGAGCAACTGAGCATTTTTAAAATCAAACGGCAGAATAAATCTGCAAATACAGTCCAGCTAAAAACCACAAACAACAGAAACCTAGACGTGGGGTGGATAGTTGCAGAATTGTGTACAAAACCCGTGCAATTTACCCGAATTGCTTATGTACCTGCGTGGTGGGTTGCTAAGCAATGGGCGGTAGAGAGTGAACAATAACTGGAAAAGTTATGCAGCTCGAAAACGAAGCAACAACGTTGGCACCAACAAAACAAGATTAGGAATGGTGAGGAAATTTGTGTTCTGAAAAACGAGACGCGTCTCTTGCTTTATTACGACGAAAACATCACGTCTTAGCAATGGATCTAATGAAGCATTTATTACTTTGCCGACCAAACTGATGTTAGCACAAATTTGATCACTCTAGTAAATTCCCTCTTCAACTTAGTTGAGCAAATATGAAATATAACCAAATTATAATGGCAACGGTTTATGATGTGTTGCGTGCATAGAAAACATTGGTTTTGGACAAAGAGAGTACACGGACCAAAATTTTTAACGGTTCTTTCTCCGGGGAAGCGACGGTGACCGATCAATAGATATTAACAATAAAAACATGATACACGTTGTAGCAGTTAATCAACATCGCCTCTCAAATTCTCGCTAGGATCATACTCTGTCGATTGTTTGTCGCACGTAAAGAGTGCAAGTGTGAGAACCAGGCTGGATGGGGACCTTGGGATGGTCGTAACCAATGGTTCGAGGCAGAGTCATATGGCTGTGTGTGGCAAACAGTGGCGTTCGTGCATCTTCTCAATTTCTTCGCAACATTAGTCCATTGAAATTCTTCATTTTCTGTTTGACTCTACTTTCAACTTTCCTGTCTTTCTCCCACTGCTTCATTCGAATGGGCAGCCAAAAGACAGCAACCAAAACCGGTGCACTAAAGTGCCTGGATAATGGTTTTACAAACTGAACTGAAAACTGGGTTATCGTGAAGAGAACGTGTCGCTGAATTCGAAATGTTCGACGGACATTGCGGATATCTTAGCATTTTGGACTGGAACAACTGCCGAAAACAGATGTCAGACAAAGAAAACCAAAGGCGGATTACCAAACTATATCAGTGGTAGAGATAGTCGAGCATGTTTTCGACTCACAGTCTTCAGCCCCGTTTGACTGATGACTGGTCACAAGAAGAGGATAGATAAGAATAACTAATTCACGACAGATTTTGTGTTAGTGAAAAGAATCAATGATGAGATTGGTAGCCAGGTATCGGAACACTTTGGATTATGTTCAGATCAGCTAGTTTATTTGACCACCATCATTTACTTTAGGCATGTAATGATCGTGTTAATACATTGTTCAATAAAAATATAACACCGAAATAGAGCGAAACGATATAATACATCTGGTGCAAAGTCCCCCATAACTCTAAACTGCATCGGAACTCACCGACAGAAAGCTCGAAAGGAAGTTAAATCCATTCGCGGTATGAAAATATCTCTCGTAGTCGGACTAGGTGTGGAGCACTTTGCTTCGGATGTCCAGTCGTCCGTTAACAAGTCCGGATCCTTCGGTGGAGCTGTTTGTTTAAGACGACGACGTCTAGCAGTCAGAACGCATAGAAACATATCTGAGAGCAATTCGATTATTCGTGCCGGTGAGTCCAAAGCAGACAGATTGACCGACGCCACAAACGGCAGTCGGCTAATCATCGGTGAGTCCCAGTCATAAGTATCGGGTATCAACGAACCGAGTTTTGCCTTCGTTTCATGTAGTTTTTCCAAAAGATTGATAAATTCTGCGTACCAATCTTCCATGGTTGTATCATAGTTTCTTACTCCTTCAGTATACACCAGGTCGAGGCTGCCTAAGTCGCACTGTAAGGATTCCCTGTTGTAGAAAATTAAACAAGACGCAATACGATCAGGGTTGCATGAAAACGATTAGAATTCAATTAAACCCAGGAAAAAAGTATTTACATAAGAGCCATAATTATCACGATCAACTGGGACTATAGTTTAACTGGTTTTTTACATCACTGAACACTTTGCGGTGTGAATTACTGTCACTGGATTCGACTGAGCTCGCTTGCGATTTCATATTTTCGGAGAAATTCAAACAGAATTGGAAAATTTTTCTTTTGTATATCCCGTGTGAACAACAACATTCAACCCACAGTCACAAAGAAATATAACCTGGGTCAGAATTGTTGATACCGGGAAAGTAATGATTCGGTATGCATTGCACAGAATTAGCGAAGCCAAAAGTGAAATGGCAATGGGACTTCTTCTTCCCTTGACCACTTTCGATTGAAGAAAGTTGATGACAGTAGGATGAGCAACTTTTCAACGATTCGAACATGTGAATACTTTCTGCGCATTCGGTTTTCATTGGACTGAGAAAACTAGCNTTGTTTCTTCATTAGGTTAATTAGAAAACACTTGAGATCAGTGGGCAGTTGGCTGGAAAAAAAACCGGAAAGATAAAGCGATCTTGACCTCGATCGTGAATACTTCTTTGACAAGCTGAAATATCATGAATAACAAAAATGGTCTAGAAGAGTATGGCACTTGCCTACCGGGATGGGATCCGAAAAATCCCGTAAACAGTCAACTGTACCTTTTCAAGTTTAGGTGAATTTCACCAATTGTCTTCCAGTGGGAACCCCAAAAAGTGATTGGTCCTTCAGCCGTCAAATGTCCTCGATCGGACCGGGTCCTTCAAAACCCCGTCCAACCGGGATGCACTAATTTCTCCTCAAACGAACTAAAGTATTTTTGAGTGAGTTATCGAGTGGGGACGAATGTTTCTGTGAGGTGGGCTTTGACTGTTCGTCCTCCGAAACACAGGGAACATTATGTCCTTGACCGTTGATAGAGTGAGCCTAAGAC